ACAAAAATAGAAGGAGACAGAGACAGACACACACACACACACATACACACACACACACATACAGACACACACACACAAACACACACACACACAAACAAACAAACAAACAAACAAACAAATAAACAAACAAACACGCAAATAAACAAACAAATAAACAAACCATGGAACAGACACACAGCTAGACAGTGAAGACAGGCAAAAACGGAAAAAACGAGAGACCGAGAGAGACAAAAAATATATATATATAATAAAAAAATCCCATATCACCAAAAACATCTACTAACCCCCCCCCCCCTTTCCCTTACCCCCACAGGAACAGCAAGTGAGCGTGGGCGTGGTGAATCGCGCGACCACCCGAGCCGCCCACGTCCTCTGCCTCCTCTCCTGGACCCGAAGGACGCCCACGCAGGAGGAAATGGAACACGAACGAGCCAGGAAGCAACGAGAAGAGGAGGACGTGATGCAGGAAGAGAGGGAGAGGCAAAGGAGGGAATTAGAAGAGGAGGAAGAGAGGAGGAGAGAAGCGGAGAGAGAACTGGAGGAAAAGACGCAGGGGATGAGGCTCGTGTTGGATAAGGATGAGTCGGAGGATGAGGGCGGGAGGGACGAGTAGGAGGGAGGGGGGGAGGGAGGGAGGGAGAAGGAAGAGGGAGGGAGGGATGGGAGGGAGGGAGGGAAGGAGGATGGGAGGGAGGAAGGAAGGAAGGAAGATAGGGAGGGAGGGAGGGAGGGAGGGGGGGGTGGGAAGGAGGGAGGAAGGAAGGAAGATAGGGAGGGAGGGAGGGAAGGATGGAGGGAAGGAGGATGGGAGGGAGGGAGGGAGGAAGGAAGGAAGATAGGGAGGGAGGGAGGGAAGGAGGATGGGAGGGAGGGAGGGAGGAAGGAAGGAGGATGGGAGGGAGGGAGGGAAGGAGGATGGGAGGAAGGGAGGGAGGAAGGAAGGAAGATAGGGAGGGAGGGAAGGATGGAGGGAAGGAGGGTGGGAGGGAGGGAGGGAAGGAGGATGGGAGGAAGGGAGGGAGGGAGGGGAAGAGGAAGAAAGGAAGGAGAGAAGAAAGAAACGAAGAAAGGGAGGGGAGAGGAAGGAAGAAAGGAAGAAAGAAAGAAAGAAAGAGTAGAAATAAAGGAGAAAAAGTAGACAAAGGAGAGAAGAAAACGAGTAGAAAAGGGGGAGAGGAAAAGAAGGAAGGAAGGAAGAGGAAGAAGGGATAGGAACAACAACAACAAAACAGTTTCAATAACAAGAATAAGGAAAAGAGAAAGAGAAATAAGAATAAAGACCCAAAGAAGGAAGAAGTGTAAGAATACGAAAAGGCACAAGAGAGAGAAGGAGAAAATGAGCGTATGGAAAAAAAACGAAGATAAATAAGAGAGAAAGCGCAAGAACAAGAATAAGGGAAGGAAACGGGAGAGAGAAGGGTAAAAAAAATTACAAAATCTAGTCAGAAATGGAGAACAAAGAAGAGTTAAGGAAGAGTAAGAAGAGAAAGATGGAGAACAGAGACTTGACTAACTATCAAAAAAGAAAGAAAAAAAAAACGGACAGCAATGACTTTACTTGAACCCGGTGATAGTTATGATATTAAGTGAATAAATATAACTCGTATTAAAAGCGACAACTCAACAGTTTAATAGCACTGTTTTGACCCCGGCGAAAATGCAGTTATTAGTTTTAAAGAATATTAAAAACTCATGCCTAACTGAACAAGCAAAGAAAGGAGTAAAGAATATATAAGTAGAAAATGCTTGGTAGTTTAGTCCTTTAACTAAACTTTATCTAAGTGCACGATTACTATAATGTCTAATTCTCAAAACACAGAAATCTAAAAGGACGCCTGTTAGTTTACGAGCTTACTGATAGATGGCGTCATAGTGCCTTTTGTCCTTATAAAACGGTATCTTTTCATTGACAGCATATTCGGCAATCAGTATTTGTAGGATCTTAGAGCGTGTATACCATAATATTATACTGAGATAATCATAATATATAAAAAGACAATGTAAAAGAATAACACGATAATATTATACTGAGGTAATTATAATATAAAAAACGACAGTATTAGAAAATAGCATGTAATTTGTCGAATGATTTAAATACGCAGATTATACTATGCACGTGTACTTACATATAGAGGCTCAAACACATTCATACGTAAATACACTAGGTTACATGTCATGACACATGTTGTAAACATGACTTAAATACATAATCGACAAAACTGTGATCTCAGAAGACTCTATGAAATAGGTATACTTTTATAGACTTTGGAAAATATTTAAAGAAATGGATGTATTCTAAATCATATATAGTAAAACTATCCTTTATTCTTGTGACTCGGGCTTGTTGAAAGAAAATCTATTGTTGTTACAAAAATGGAAATAGTATTATAAAAAGAAAAAAAAATGTTACTAGTAAATTATAGATATAACTATAAGATATTTTGCTTCTCCCCACATCATTAATCACAAAGCTCTTAAGAATAAGATTTTTAATTAATTT